CTCTTATATTTAATATAACCACACTACGGACGGACAAGCGCCTGTTTTTATGCGTTGTCGTTAGCAACAACGACGGTAAAACCATCGCGTGTCCGCTTGTTTATTTTCCACATAAACCTTTCAGAATAAAGCTCAAGATCCTGTTGAGACTTTTCAAAATAAACTGAATCACGTGAAAGAGTATGCAGTGTTTACGGATGAGAAGCAAAAAAGAGCCGCCAGGTGCTAAAAAATAAACCTTAGACTCAAACGTTAGAACAGGCTTTTCGCCGCAGCACGCCGTGTAATAAATACTCACAAAGAAAACAGCGGCCGTTACAACTTATGTCTAACAATGTATAGTGTCATGCATCGGTTAAAACATTCGACTCCAGGTACACGACACCCAGCTGGAAACACTTCACGCAAGTCGAGCTGCCCGAGATTCACAGAATTTTCATAAAATGTAAAATTTTTGTGATTTATATCATTATTGGACGATAGATGTCTTATATCGGGATATGAGATTTTGGTCATATCACACAGCCCTAACGTCACACACAACGCGCTCTGTTTAGACCCAGACCAAACTGTTTCAGACTTTACGTTTCCCAATTTTGCTTTAAGTTATTTTGTTATTTACATATGGCCTAATAATTAACCTTATTGCTGTTTTAGAGGAGCGGTGCTTCCAAGGATAGCTGCAGATTTCTGTCAGAATCTACAGATTATGCAGTACAAATAAAATGTTCACGTTTCTCCAACGTTGTCTTCCCAGCAGTTTAACTGACATCTACACTGGATGGTTCATGTTGTCTTCTCCGGCGCTGATAATTGGCGTCTGTCTTGTGTCAGTGATGTAAAAGACGGATTTAATGCGACATGGCCATTCAAACTGCAGACGTTTTCTAAAACATCAGATATGTATCGGATTGAGTACCACATACGAAAGTGACCCAGGTCGGATTTGAAAATATCGGATTTGAGCTGTTCACACTGTCATTCCATGATCAGATATGGGTCGCATAGGGTCAAAAAAGTCGGATTTGATGCGTTTTCACCTGCAGTGTGAACATAGCCTTTGTCTCCCATATTCTCACTTCTGGATGTAGTCTGTACAGTTCCCACATTGGTGCCATCAGACATGCCCCAAGCTGGCAGGTGAAAAACCGTTTAACACCACATCTGACTGAAACCAATATTTGTGCTCTCAGATAAGTGCTAGAAAAGGTCAGTGCTGCAGTGCGTGTTTGAAAACCGCTTCAGTCAAAAAAAGGTGGTGACTATTTCTGTTTAAAATCTTTAACTCAGTGGTTAATCCTTGCTCTGATGTTTCGATGGATGCCTCCCTGACCCTCTGTGAAAAATTTCTAAATCATTTTATAGATAAGATCTCAGTGTTAAGGGCCCCACATTCTCCGGTAGTAAATCAAGCCCCAGTTTCCGAATGGTCAACGGTTTTTCAACAGTTTGAACCTGTGTCGTTCTCGACTTTAAATGAAATAATTAATAACCTGAGAAGCTCAAATTCTCTGCATGACATTATTCCTTCTCGTATCATTAAGGATGGATTGAATACAATCGGGTCCTGTATCTTATTTTTAACTCATCACTGTTATCTGGCTGTGTTCCGACTGTCTTTAAACATGCAGTCGTGCAACCTGTTATCAAGAAAAGCAGCCTTGATCATAACACTCTAGCAAATTACAGGCAGATTTCTAAACTCCCTTTCATGTCAAACATTTTAGAGAAAATAGTGCTTCAGCAACTACAGACCCATTTAGAGAGAAACGGTATAAGTGATAAATTCCAGTCTGGATTTTAAACCGCGTCACAGCACCGAAACTGCCCTACTAAGAGTCTTCAATGACCTCCTTCTAATCGCTGACTCCGGGCGCTCTGCGGTCTTAGTTCTATTAGATTTGACTTCAGCCTTTGACACGGTTGACCATGATATTCTTTTGGCAAGCTTAGAACAAGTAGCAGGCCTTAAAGGAAATGTTCTCTCATGGTTTAAATCATATTTTTCTGAGAGGTCGTTCTCTGTCATGATGGGAAAATATTCCTCTTCTTCTGCCCTTTGTTGCTGTGGTGTGCCCCAGGGCTCGGTACTGGGTCCTGTGTTGTTTTCTCTGTACATGTTGCCCTTGGGCTCCATTTTTGAAAAACATAATGTCTCTTTTCACTGCTATGCTGATGATATTCAAATCTACCTCCACTTGACTGGGGATGTTTCATCTTCACTACAGCTTCTGTTTGATTGTCTGAGGGATGTCAAAGACTGGTTATCACGTAACTCTCTTACTTTAAATGAAAAGAAGACAGAAATGATTGTTTTTGATAGAAATATGCCTCTGGGGCAACTGACTGGTACACTTGGGCCTGTTGCTAACCACCTCACTGATGCTGCTAGGAATCTTGGAGTTTTCATAGATAGTTCCTTCAAACTAGATAAACAGGTCTCTACTGTGGTAAAAACCAGCTTCCACCAACTACGCCTAATTTCTAAGGCTAAACCTTATATACCACGCAACGATCTGGAGAAACTCATTCATGCTTTCATCACTTCAAGACTAGATTATTGTAATTCTCTCTACTTGGGCCTACAATCTTCCCTCCTTCAGCGATTGCAGCTGGTCCAAAATGCTGCAGCACGTCTCTTAACAGGCACTAGAAAGTATGATTCTATCACCCCTGTTCTGGCCAACTTACATTGGCTTCCTATTAAATATCGAATTGATTTTAAAATTTTATTGTTTACTTATAAAATCCTAAATAATATGGCACCTGACTACCTAGCTGATCTCCTCTGTCTGTATAGCCCTAAGAGAGCACTAAGATCATCGGGCCAACTGCTCTTAGTGCAACCTAGGTCTCTGCTGAAGACCAGAGGAGGCTGTGCCTTTGCCTTTGCCGCACCCAGGTTATGGAATATTCTTCCTCTTCATATTCGCGCATCAGATTCTATTCAATCTTTTAAATCACGTCTAAAAGCGTACTTGTTTAACCTGGCATTCAAGGCTAATTAGGGTAATTTACATCTGGCTTTGCATTTCGATTATGTAATTATTTTATATCTGTAATTTATATTTTATATTGTGATTTTTATCTGTATCATGATTTTACTGGAAAGCACTTTTGTGTACTTCAGCCTTTAAAATGTGCTATATAAATAAATTTTGATTGATTTTTTTTTTTTTTTTTTTTTTTTTAAACAAATCACTGTATTACATTTTTAGGAATTTAATTAAGAGTAATTAAAATATCATTGTTCCCTATCAAGGTGTGGGGGCATGGGAGTGGGGACAGCTGGCTTGGGAATGCCTCTGGATCTGGATCTGGATAAGCAATTGAAAATGCATGGATGGAGTGATGGATGAAATGAGGAGCAGTGATAAATTTAGTGTGCAGACATCTGCAGCCTCGACATACTGCTGATAATCAGTTACTGTTACACTGTGTATTCTGACCTGATTTAAGCAGATAACACTAAACAAGATCACCATTACACTACACTGGGATGTCCACAACCTTTATGTAGAAATGTTATGTCTCATAAATCAAATAGACTGCCAGATTCCTAGAATCAGCACATGAAGCATTAATAAGGCAGACGGCAGAGAATTCGAGCCCTCGCGGTGACAAAAATATAATGTTGAAAAAATAGAACTTGCTACAAGTTCTCTGTCTACCCATTTGGAATGTAAAATATGAAAATAAAATCTCACTGTGCTCTTCGAAGTGTTAAAACACTGAGCTGAGCCGTCACAGCAGGCGTCACCTAAAACAGCTGGAAAGTGCTGCACAGCTCGCTGAGGGCAGAGGTCACCGCTTGAGCCTCTGTAACACCTGCTGTTCTCTTTTCTTTTTGCTCTGCTCTCACACATAGTTTATTATGACGTCGGCGTGCGGTTTTTGTTTTTACGCTGTAACAATAGCGACTTCAAATGCAGCATTGTGTCTCTGACTTGGTGAAGCACTTGCTGGTTTGCTTTGAGATTCGTGACACCACTTCTCAGTGTTTTCTTTAATTATGTCACTGAAGAAGTTTTAATGGTTTAGACTCTGCGACTGAATGTAGGGCTCTGGGTCATCTAAACCTATGACACAAACTCTTTGTGTGTGTTTCCGTTGGTGTTGTCTATTGATAATGTATTTCAAGTCTCTATAAGTGTGTAGTTTGTGTGTGTGTGAGAGTACGTGTGTAACACAGAGGCACACATAGATGTCAGTGTGTTTCTTGTCAACCTCGGGCGTGAATGAGTTTGCACTGACCTACATTGTGTTTCAGCAATTATACACACACATGTTGGGCTTTCTGTAGTCGTGGGGACCATAATTCCCTTGCCCCTCAGCTCAACACTGACCTTTATATAACATAAATTATAAATCCCCCGATCAGTTGGAGGGCGTATTTTAAAAGTGAGGAACAGCCAAAATGACCTCACTTCCCACATATGTCCTCGATCCTAAGTTATAAATCACATGTTGGTCCTCACAGAGATTTACAAGCATGCACACACTCTCTTTATACATACAGTACACATGTGAACTCACACATGTAGTTGCTGATGCATGCTGACACGTGCAGTCATGCAAACACACACACATTCTGCCAGCTTCTCTCGATAAAATGCTGACTGTGACATTCCAGCAGAAATCATAAAGGTTTTATTCATGTGTATGTCTGTTACTGTGAGGACTAGTTTTGACATTTCTCACTATTTTTGTGGTATTTCATTGATTTGCTGCAAACTAGGCTTCACAGATCAACTACAATTATTCACGTCATAAATTCATACTAAGTAGGGAGTTAGCCAAACGAGGTCCACCTGAGCATGACTGGGCAAGCAAGGCATGTAATAGAACATTTCTAGTCTGAAAAATCCTCATCCGTTTTATCAGCCCCACGTTCGTGTGATATTTCTCATTTCCAAGCTTCATTTTTCTGTCTGTGTCTGTGAGTAAAATGGTTGCACTCTGTGACTCCTGTCCTGAATCTGTCTCCTCTCTCCCCGCAGTCTGCAGACAAGGAGCGGGCGCTGGAGGAAACAAAGAGCTACACCACACAGTCTCTGGCCAGCGTCGCCTACCTCATCAACACGCTGGCCAACAATGTGCTGCAGATGCTGGACATCCAGGCCTCACAACTCCGCCGCATGGAGAGCTCCGTCAACCACATTTCACAGGTCCGCTGAACTTTGAATGTTCTCATTTCTTCTTAGAGGATTAAACAGCCGCTTTGTACGTGTGAGGGATGACGTTTAATGAAAATTCCTCCTCGCACTGCCTTTGTTATCCAAGTCAGGCGTCCAGAGGCACGCTGAAGGTTTCAAACTGTAAACATGATCTAAAATATGAAGTTTGTGAGCAGGAAGGCCCATATACAAAGACACTGGTACACACAATGCACAAAATTATACACACCCGCAAGAGGGCTCCTAAATGAAAGAACAGAACATGCAATCATGTATGAATGCATTTATGTTCAGCAGCCCAGGAGGAGTTTGTGTTTACAAATAGGAGGCAAAAATGCAGAATGTTCAGCAGTAACATAGTGAAAAGAGGTCAAATTATTAGCAGAAAGTGGCGATGGTGGAGAAACTAGCCCTTTTTTTTTCTGTACACACTATACTAAGATAAATTGGTAATGTTTTTTTTAGGGTTCAGGGTTAAAGCATCAAACAATCTTTAAATCAGTATTTTTTATGATGGTGTATGCAATGAAAACATAGACACAATGTTTATGGTGTCTCTGTAGAGAGAGTGTGCGGCTCCTCTTTGCTTTGAGTTTTATAATGAGCTTCAGCTCAGGGTTTGGCTGTCTGACTACAACTTCAAACCGCGTTTGTTTCACTCTATCGGCATAAGAACATCTTTTTCAGCAGCAGCAGGGAGCTGTTTTCAGAGAAGCGCTAAAAGGCCACTGTGCACTGTTCGGCTCTGTCTGTGAAGTGAAAAACACTTGTACCTTTAAATGTTAATGGGTAATGTTGGAATCATGGAGACGGGGTGTTTTCGAACCAGGTTAATACTCTATGCAAACGTAATTCTGTGTACGATCACCGTCAAATCCACGAAGACTCTAAAATGTGATACCAGTGTTCCTGTTTCTCCTGCAGGGGTTCTTTTAATCTTGTTTACATGACTTACAGTAATATTGGATGCTATAGTAAATGAACAGTAATCACTATGTCCTAACTGTTGGAGGACAAAGAACACAGAGCTCTAATTTTGTTTCTGTCAGCTGCTTGGATGAATAAAACCACCTGTAAGTGTGATTGCACCCAACAGTGAAGTGAAAGTGTGTGGTGCTGCCAGGGATCCGATCAGGCTTACACAACACTCTGCACCCACACATCTCACACTGCAGCTGTGTCCAACTTATTCCTGTTCCTAGAAAAACTCTGAGCTGACACGTCGCTCAGTGCACTCTATTGAGAAAAGAGCTATTTTCATTCACTGAGTGTTTAAATCCTCAACAGTCTCTTCACAGAGCAACTCTGTGCTTTGAGGAATAATCGTAGTTTTCAGTGGTACAGGGGCTCCATTCTCCTCGTCGGACCTCCGAATAATTAGTATAATCGGAATGCTCTGTAAGCAGAAATAATGAGATGCTTCTGTCCCTGTTATATCGGGCCAGGCTGTGGTCGCATGTCATAATTGCCGCTTTCTGTTCTGTGAGACACAGTCACATCCGTTGTGTAGGCGAACGCTTCATGCGGTGAGGAATTGCACTGAGATGATCTTTAAAAAATCCATTTTGCATTTGCATGCTGCAGCGGCCGATAGGAGTCGTGGAAGGTGAGGCAGAGATGTCCCGGCGTGCTCGTAGCGCAGGCCGGATGCTCTGTTTTTATTGGCGTGGAAGTTCCTCATCTCTGCTCTAAAACAATCAAATACACTTTTACTGACCTTTGAAAAAACTGGCTACTACATAATATACTGCTGGAGAGTGTAATCTGTCATAATACAGCATAATTTATTAGTAGACTTCTACTTAGCCTGGGAAAAGCCATCGAGAAATGCAGACTGAGCCAAACAATTATCTCAACTTCACAGTGTGCAGATGACTCTCAAAGCTGTCACTACAATGTAGATTAACCTCGTTGGACTATAACTGCAAATAAATAAACCAACAAACCTCTTGACAAGAGGTGGGACTTACCCAACACCCCACACACACAATACTTCACTCACAATGCGATTGTGGGGATTTTTAGCATTTTGCGATATGCTGAGTATTGCAATAACACATATTGTTATTTATCACCTTTTCCAAAACAAATTTAAAAAATAAGAATGTTGGGCTTTAGCCTGGTTTTCGCATGCAGCATGACAATTTGAGTTTGTATTATGAGTCTAAATCTGCAAAATAATTAGGATAAGTTTAGTAGTGTAGTGGAATAAATGGCATTTCTCTCTTTAAGTATCCCCCTCCAGGCTGTAAGTGTCATTGTTCTGGAGAGAGGAGGCAGCTGCTGTCAGCCTGCAGCAAAGTTTCAAAACTTCATGTTTAAAAATTAAACAATCATTTTATCTACACACAGACAGCTCTCGTGTTAGCTTGTTCTTTATTCCATTGCACAGTCTGTGCTTAAAACAACCAGGTGGTACACAGGAGCACTTCTCTTCAACTTCTTTTAACAGGTTTCTTCATGGCTCTCCACCTGCCAAAGTTTTGAAAGCTGTTGTCATATCTAGAAAAACACTTTCCTTTAACCACTTGGGTTCTCTGTCTCGGCTGTGGCGCTGCAGTGTTTCTTCTGTGTATGTGTCAGAGAGGAGATGCCATAAACCTGTCATCAATCAATCAATCAATCTTTATTTATAAAGCACTTTTCATACAGAAAAAATGTACCACAAAGTGCTTTACATAGTTAAAAGCAGCCCACCCTCCAACTCACTCCCCACACTCTCAATACACATATATCCCCCCACCCCCACCCACACACACATACACACACGCGCACACTTAAAGAGTAAAAATTGGGCTGGGCTCGCATGAGCCAAGTGAGGAAACATTATAACAGAGAGCCGTCTGCACCGGGAGCCGGTCACAGACCGCAGCCTCCGGGCTGGGCACACAGCAGGAGGGAGGCCAAGGAGCCCCCCAACCAGGCTGAGAGGACCCCAGAGACCCAGCAGCCACGGTCAATAGCAGCCCCGGTGCAGAGAGCGCCCTCCGAGGAAACACTGGAGATATGACGCAATACAATATATACAGGGTAAAATGATAAAATAAATAAGAACAGGATACAATATAAATATAAATATAAATAGAGTAAGAAGATTAAAAAATGAATAAGAATAAAATCTGAAAATATTAGGTAAATCCTAAATTAATAATAGAATGACAGGATAGAATAAATAAGCATAAAAAATAAATAAACGCTAAGTAAAAGCTAAATTAAAAAGGTGGGTCTTGAGCCTGTTCTTAAAAACATGTACGTTCTCTGCGGCCCTGAGCTCCTCCGGCAGGCTGTTCCACAGACGAGGACCATACCACTGAAAAGCTGCCTCTCCGTGAGTATGTGTCCTGACTTTAGGGACAATCAAAAGGCCTCAGGGTCCGTGAGGGTTCGTATGGTAAAAGCAGATCTGAGAGATAAGAAGGCCCAAGACCATTATGTGAGCATTAACTTCACTGTTTGGTCAGAAGCTGCTCGGGCTGATCTGCAAGGACACTGTGAACTCGGTGTCTGTTTATTTCTCTTACTGGCTGCATGCAGCTCATATAATTCAACTTCACTTGGACCACACATGGGACCCAGTGGCCATGCAGCAGCTGTTTAAAACAATAAGAATTATTGTTTGCGAAATACATTGCAGCCTTCTGAGGGATTAAAGTAAAGACACGCGCTGCACGCTGTTGGAAGGCTGTGATTAATGGAGCACTAGAGCGAGCAGCGTATGATCAGTGTTTCCAGTAATAATTTTGAAGTGAAAGGAACATCCAGGACCAAAGCGATTCAGGACACCATCACTGTGGTGCACTTCTAATACACACAGGAGTGTACAGGTTTCTGTTCTAGACTAAAACATGTAATGAGTATGTCCCTCACTCAACAAGGGGAAATATGCTACATGAAGTTTGCACTTGCTTAAGAATGACGCTCATCATGCATCAACATCTTAATTAAACAAGAAGCTTAATTTAGCAGAGAAAAATGTTAATGTCAAAGTTTTAATCCTGAGTTATTTTTTTCAAAGCTCCCATTTAAACGTGATTGATTGTGATTGTTACCTCTGCCAAGGAGGTTATGTATTTGGTAAAACGCTGGATCCATGCTTTTTATTCCCTTTATAAACATGATAGCTGGAAAAGCTTTGAATGAATACTGATAGAACTTTGTAGGTGTGTAGAGTACGCTCATTGTAATAAATGGCCTGTATTTATATAGCGCTTTACTAGTCCCTAAGGACCCCAAAGTGCTTTACACATCCTGTCATCCACCCATTCACACACACAGTCACACACTGGTGATGGCAGCTACATTGTAGCCACAGCCACCCTGGGGCGCACTGACCGAGGCGAGGCTGCTGGACACTGGCGCCACCAGGCCCTCTGACCACCACCAGTAGGCAACGGGTGAAGTGTCTTGCCCAAGGACACAACAACCGAGACTGTCCAAGCCGGGGCTCGAACCAGCAACCTTCCGATTACAAGGCGAACTCCCAACTCTTGAGCCACAATATTGTATTAAAGTTTTTCTCATATCCACCAAGGTTTTGAAGGTCAGCTTAAGGTTTATTGGTCAAAAATGGACAAAAAGTCTTAGAACTTAGAAGTCTTACAAGTGTCTTGTATGTTGTCAACGTATAGAAAGTGTCATATAAAAAATTTAAAATATGTCACATTTGACCTCTGACCTCTCCTTCAAGGTCAATAGAATTATCTGAAGGTCAAAGTGATAATAATAATTTATAGAGCTATTTTAAAAAGTTTCTTCTAACCTTTCCTTCTCATCAACCTCAGCTAAACTCACTGGTATTGCATTTATGTTGGTGCTACTAGCTTAAGCTGCGTCCACACCGGAGCAATTCATTTATATTCCACTTTTCAGTTTGGAGCACTGACACATTAAAATGAGTGCTTTTTTTTGTGATTTGTGATTTGTTTTTGTTTTTTTTGTTTTTTTTTTCTTAATTTGCTCGTCCTTCATTTTTCTTCTTCCAGACCGTTGACATTCACAAGGAGAAGGTAGCGAGGCGGGAGATCGGCATCCTGACCACCAATAAAAACACGTCTCGCGCTCATAAAATTGTAGCTCCAGCCAATCCAGAGAGGCCAGTGCGCTACATCAGGAAGCCCATCGACTACAGCGTCCTGGATGACATTGGCCATGGAGTCAAGGTAGGCAGAGTAATGAGGAGGGAATATAATAACATCCGTTTATATGAACTCGCATATTCAAGTGTTTATAAATGATTACACAGATTCTCATCCATGCACTCAAGCATGTGCATGTACCACCTTTTCTATTTTACTCTTCTTTTTTTTATGTATTGCAAGCATTAGTAAACTCTTGAATGAATATCTCTGTACCAGGTTTGCATATCTATTAATAAGAAATCCATTTTTAAAAATCTCTTTAAAAAGAATTGGATAGAAATTGCATGTTTATGTGTATAACTGAGTGAGCCGCGGTTTTTCTCTAAGCATGTAGAGTGTGCACTTGTAAATAAATAGTTTTTATTTAGGATAAGTAGCAATAATTATCTAGGCATTGTGCTTTCACCATTATTTCTTTAACTGCACTCCTCCTCCTCACTTTTCTGTCCACCAGCTCTTCTTCATCTGTATTTCTGCCCTTTGTCTCTAATGGCTGCTGGTATTCGCATGGCACTGTTGCACTGTAACTAACCTTTAGACTACCCTGTCTCTTCTTTTCTCTTCTATTTGCTGTCATTGGCATATTAAGTGGTTGCTGAGGTTCAAGGTAAGGATGCACAAAACACCTACACAGATTAGAAGTGTGTGTGATAAATGAAGGAAATTGTGTAATGTGGAAAATGCCGTTAGAAAAGCAATAAATGCAGTAATGATCTAAGAAAGTGACTACTGTGCTATTACTGCAGTGGTCAACAAACCAAGCAGCAAAATATGCTAGAATCAGCTTCCTCTTCCTCCCTCTGTCTCTTTACACTCAGCCCCCTTTCTTCATGCCAATTTTCACCTGATCATAAAAATCTATTGAATGCTTAATAAGTTCTCATATAAAAATCATAGCAGCCTGGTTAATGAGTTCTGTGCCTTTCATAAATGTATTATTTAATGCACAGCCTGCCTGCTGTCCAACCGTGAAGTGACAGCTAGTGTTGGAACATGTTCGAATGAGTCCTGAAGGTCTTAAAGGACTTATAAATCATTCTACCCAGTATCATAGGACACGGTAGAGGTGGACTCTAGGACCTGATGTTTTAAAGCTGTTTCAGCAGAATGGGGTGAGCTACACAGGGGTGATGTTGTTTTGGCTAGCTACTGATATGTTGGCTCTGTGAAAGGCCTGAGCTGAGCGCTGAGCATTAACACGGTTTGTTCTCACAGGTGAATGGTCAGCCGAACATGAAACTTGGAGCGGGTCTGTCTCGGTCCAACCCTCCCACACAAAAACCGCCCAGCCCTCCAAGGGCAGGCAAGGGCATCTTGGGGTATGTACACAGCCTAGCACCAACACTCCCACAGGTGTATCTTCTTTCCCTTACTAGTATTCACCTTGTCTTATCCTTTGTGCTTCCATGGTTTAATATAAGTGAATGTTCTGTGTATTTATTGGAACTTGAGTATTTGTCTCAATTTTTTTTCTTAAATGTGTGAGTAGTATGGCCTCCATGGGATAAAATCCAATTTTGGAAAAGTTGTGACGCTGCGTAAAATGTAAACAAAAACAGAATGCATTTATTTGCAAATCTCATAACCCCATTTTTTTTTCTCAGTAGAACATATAAAACATAGCAGATGTTTAAACTGTGACCATTTTCTATTTCATGAAAAATATTAGAATAGAATAGCCTTTATTGTCATTGTACAGAGTACAACGAAATTGGAGTGCCACTCCCTTGGTGCAAGTTTCAATAATAAATATAAATGTAAAATATAAAAAGTACAAAAAAACAATCGTAAGTACTCAAACAATAGTATGTACAATATATACAGGATAGCAGCATTAATATAATGACAGTATGAATAGTAGCATAATATAATGACAGTGACGGTATGGAATAGGTTCAATTGTTTTTGTGCTTATTTACTACGGCGATAGCTCTGGGAAAGAAGCTATCCCTGAATCTGTTTGTCCTGGTTTTATGTGACCTGTACCGTCGGCCTGACAGTAATAGTTCAAACAGTTGGTTGCTGGGGTGAGAGTGGTCCTTGATGATATTGCCAGCTCTGCTGAGGTACCGAGAGTTTGCAGTGACCTCCAGGCTGGGCAGAGAGCAGCCAGTGATCTTCTGGGCTGTGTTGATGACCCTCTGCAGTACTTTCCTGTTCGCAGCTGAGCACCCTGCATACCATGTTGTTATGCCGTACGTTAGGATGCTCTCTATGGAGGCTCTGTAAAATGTCACCAGCAGCCTCTCCTCCAGGTTGTTCCTCCTGAGCACTCTCAGAAAGTGGAGACGCTGCTGGGCCTTTTTAGCTCATTTTGGAAAAAAGTTGGGACGGGACCATGTTTACTTGTTTTCATTGTGTAGCAACCTCAACAGTCTGTAAACATCTGGGAACTGAGGAGACCAGCTGTTGTCCCATTCTTGTCTGAAAAAAGAAGATTTATTCATAACACACGTGAAAAGACCCAGGAAGACAGAGTTAACGATAAAAACGATAACAAAATAACACTGAGAACCGATAAAAACCCTGAAAACTATACATTTCACACCTGAGCCTCAACTCTCGCGGCCCGGTACCAAACGACTCACGGACCGGTACCGGTCCGAGGCCCGGGGGTTGGGGACCGCTGCTGTAAATGATGAAATACTCAAGTCTTTGTAATTTTACATTGAAGAAGATTATTTCGAAATACTAACCTCTGCCCGTCTTTTATTCCCAAGTATATTATTGACCTGTTGCCAATTAACCTAATTAGTTGAAAAATATTCCTCCTGTTTTTCCTTCTAATGCCACTAACTTGGAAAAGTAAATGATACCTTTAATGCCCCCTCACCCCCACCCCAATGTTTGGAGACATATTTAGTGATTCCATATTTTTCATGAAATGGTAAAATCTCCTTCATATGCTCCGTTGTGAATAAAATATTGGTTTGAAATTTGCAGATTGCTGCTTTCTGATTATTTGTGGTTTTTACACAGCATCCCAATTTCAATATAAATGGACTGATAAGATAAATCTGCTCTCACAGATGTGTTGTTTTCTGAACTGATTTTGAGATAAGTCGTGTGCATGTGTGAAACTGCTGCAGATTGTGTGTGTTTGTGTCTTGTGGAAGGATGGAGCGTCCTGCTGCAAGCTTATTACAGATTTGACCCGGCAGAAGGGAATGACACACACACACACACACACACACACACACACACACACACACACACACACACACACACACACACACACACGGTAAAATGCAGTGCTCAGAGGAATAACGTCATGCGTTGTGAAAGCTTGTTGTGTTCTCTCCCCTCAAACATCTAGGTCACCCAGCTGTAGCCCTCATTCTTTCTCTCTCCTTATTTCCTTATCTTCATCTCGATTTCACTCCTTCCTCTCTTTTTTTTTTAAACTTTCTCATTCCTTATTCCTTATTTATTCCCGTTGTCTTACTTTCTCTGGGTCCAGCTTTCTTGAGTAAATATTGGGTCTTGAACAGTCCGCAGATGCTGTCTTCCTATCACTTTCCATGCTGCTTAGGTGTGCTGAATTAGCTAGCACAATACACATAAGTCTATATACCATAGACAATATAAAAGATGGATGTAACCACTGTTATGTTGGCTGTCGATTTTGACCCAACATTTTGAGGCTTTAGCGTAAGAGTTTGGACCTTCCACCATGCTGGTACTTCTGAGCCAGAAGTTCTTGTATTTGGATTAAAAGGATGGAGTGCTTACTAGCTAATTAGTAGCTAACGCTAGGCAGCATTGTGAATACAGCCAGAGACAGTATAAAAGACGGCTGTAGCAACTATGAGATTCACATGAGCATCTTGACCTGACGTCACCCTCTTGGTATTGTGATACTTGACAACCAAGGTGTGGATGTTAACAGGAAACCACACACTAACTGGCTAACGAGTTGTCAGTCACATGTTGCTAACCAATAAGTATTTCCTGGATAATCCTACTTTCTAAACCTCTTTTGGTTGATTTCTCCACGGACTTCTATAGGACCATTAGCCTTTTTCTAACCACAGGTATCATCCGCTGGTGGCCAAAAAAAGGGATGCAGGTTTGTATTTATGTATTTACTGGCTTCACTTTTGGAAGCTACAGCCATGTAAAATCGAATTCACCAAAAGAGAACCACAAGCTTCTTGGAATGTCCACATCAGTTACTAAGTGATAATGGTGGGTAAATTCCATGAAAATGCTCCAAAAGGCACCAACAGCAATAACAAACCTAAGAGCTCCAGGTCAGTGACTCCGGTTAGAGGAGCTAACTTACGTGCTGCTGCATTACCTTATTACAATATTTATTGCAATACTTTGATTGTCTGTGTGCAGCAGGTAGGCTGATAGGTGGCCTCATTCAGTCTGTGTTGTCTGCTGTGTTGCTTCCTATTTCCTGTAACCTGCTGATCAGCCACCTGTTGTACCATGTTGAACAGCACAGCAGGATTTTTTCCCTGCTGAAAGAGCCCTGACTAGCCAAAGATTATCACAAGACTGCAAACAACCCGTAATGCAACACAGTCTTACAATGTTGCGCTACTGCAGTCTCATTTCATAAGCAACACAGAAGTTAGGAATAGGTAGTTGTCTAGTTCTCTGTTATTTAAATAATTCTACTTTTTAAACCTAACGTCCACAAGTCTGACATTTGGTGCAGTATGACAACAAATAAGATGAGAAAGTGTTTGCGTTCCCTAAGGATGAGGGAGCAGAAGCAGCTCAGCACTTGGCTGGAACTTTGAGTTGACTGGAGCTTTGGTGCACAAGCCAAATGTCTGTACACACACACACTCTAACACACACACACACTCTAACACAAACATGCGTGGAGAGACGAGGAACAAATCACAGCAGTGAGCTGGCGTAATGCTGTAATCAACAGGCCTTCTGACGACTCACACTCACATAAATAACAACCCAGACGATTCAGAGAGTTTTCACCGTCTAAGTTTGACTGTTCTTTCTTTAGCACCAGTGTTAATCGGATTGGATTAACACTGCGCGCTTTAAACTTGGTGAAATAACAGAATCCTTTGCAGACAGAATAGATGGGATAAATGGGAAACCCCAATAGAAAGTCCAAATAAATGGCTGTAAATCTGCTTGGAAATCATGCAGTCTTTTTCTTTGCTTACAGTGATAACTGCTGGTGCATTACATGACTCATAGGTTGTTGAAATATTGGATGTAACTGTGTAATTATTCGTGAGGAGGAGTTAACCAGGTGGACACTGTGCCTGCTTTGTGTTATGTGTATGCAGTAAGTGACATTTATTGTGCTGATCCATTGCTTCACTCTGATTTTGGTCAGTTTTTTGTTTTCCTCTGTTGGCGTTCACTCGTCCTTATTCTCTACATACAGCTCTGTGACGTGGGAGGGATTTTATTTCTCTAAAAATACACACTGGCCTTTGAACATGACCTTTACCGATTTTATTCTTTTTGTTCCACAGCAGGAAGGAGGCTATAGCTAGCTCACTTGCAGAATTAAGGTGTACTTGCATATCAATACTGATGCTTTAAGTGTGCTTGTGGCTATTTAATGTTACTTTCAGGAGCGATCCTTTGTCGCCAGAATCAAGTTTGTCTCCCCATTAACCCTGTCTTCACCCTTACGTTTTGCATGTACAGGAAGAACTCCCCCTACAGGACACTGGAGCCTGTGCGCCCCCCTGTTGTACCCAATGATTATGTCTCCAGCCCTACCAGAAACAATATGGCAGGGGGACAGCTTCCAAGTCCGGCCCGCACCGCTACCCTCAACCATCGACCCCGAACATACAGGTAGCCGGGTCAGTGGGTAAACGTGGCCTGCCAGAATGGGATTCAGAGCTTTTCCTTTTCCCTGCTGAAATTCTTTTGCATCTCTGATAAAACTTTGAAAAACTTTAAAATCACTGCTGGGTTTTTTGTTGTTGTTTTTTTGTTTAGACATATTTTTCATTTCAGCCTGCTTAAAAAGCTAAAGGAGAGATTGTTTTCTCTCTCATCCTCACGCAGTGTGTTTTAGTTCATGCTTCCATTCTTGGTTATTTACAGCTGATCTAATTGGCTTGCACGGTGACTAAACATATTTCAGAACACCTGGAGAGTCATTTTTCAGTTCAAGACAAAATGTATCCTGCAGAAAACATTCCCAGCTTTTAACTTCATCAACAAAATAAAATACAGGGAGAAAGATTTCAATATCACACTACAGCTATAGCCGTACAGCCACAAAATCAAAGAATTGGCCTTTAAAAAGTCTTGATCAACGTTAGAAGCTTAAATCTGAACATCTAATGAAATCTGCTATAAAACGTCGCTCCAGATACTGACAAACAAATGCATATTTCATGCGGCACTGCAGAAATACAGTCTTGTACAAAAGTGGTCACGTTCCTCTAGGCCTCTGTAATCGTTCACCTGCTCTGGCTTCTCTGCTGCTGTCCAGTGTTTCCTCTGTGGATTTGCTCAGCAATCACGCTCAGGGAGTACATGCTTGTTATGGTTCATTTCAAATACACTGTTCATTGCTAAAAGGATTTTATGTAGTTATTTTATTAACCTAATCATACGTGTTAGTGTTACTGCTGAGAGAACACAGAGGACTCACAGAACTAACTTTCTGTTTACACCCTCACAGCATCAACTAACTGATTTTATTCTTTCATTCATTTTCAGCTTGTAGTTTTCTTTTGTCTCCTCTGCAGTTTATGTAGCTGTTGGTGTCCTGGATGGGAGAGAGAGGCAAATACTTTGAAAGCAGAGCTTTGAATTTTGCATTCGCAAATAAATGTTTAAGTCTTTGACAGTGTTTACATGTTAATCTCACAGACAGCATAAAAGATGGACGTAGCCACCATGTCACCACCTTTCAGGCTCCTGGTAGCATTTTAGCCATCTGTGTGTTTTATACTCTTCATACTCTTCATATGTGATAAAAAAGTATGACCAGTTAAGGGCTGGACCAGACTCTCACTTTCCAATAACGTGATTGACAGGTGCGTAGCCAATGAACATAATCCTCTTTTCTGACACTTGGAAAAGTCATAAATGTTACAAAAAGAGTTTCATCATGAACTAGTCATTGAGCCACAGAGCAATAGAGATGTATGGTGGTTTTCTTGTAGATTTCTGTACAACCAGTATGCTTTCTGCAAACACAAGAGTTTCCCTCTGTAAAAAGAATGCAGGTTCACTTTTTTAGACCCAGAATTTACGTTCTTGTTATGCTGTCTGTGGTTGCTCTAAAAGGCACCCTTTGCAGTAATTGTGCAGCGCTGATGTAGCATTTTAAAAATGAATAAACAAAAGTATAGATTATTTAGAGCCCTGTTTTGTCCAATCACAGCTCTGCCTCAAACTATTCTCAAGTCCTTCCCATCCAGTCACCACCTTCAACTCAGTCACTCTAAAACTGATCAGATTGCATGTGCTGTGTTTATGGTTTCATTGCTCCTGTGATGATGTTAGCTCTCTCTCATTCTGCTGCTGTTTGCTCTGCTGTTTCTTGTCTTTGCACTTTTCTTTTCATCTTCATCAGCGAGCCATCCTCTGCCCCTGCTGCCTTTGCCTTTAATATTTGTTTGCTTTTATCTGTTGCTCTCTTTGTGCCTTTTGAAAAATCATGACTGAGTAAGCAGTCAGTCAGCGTTTCATATCCACTTTTTTTTTTAAATTGTTTACATTTTCTGGAGTGTAAAAATAGAGCTGTTTTTTTTGTTGATTGTGTAATTTTGGAAAACGGTGAAATACTACACATCAAGTTTTCTTGGTCTCCAAGTTCAGAGGTCTTTTTTATTTGTAAACATGATATTAACAATGTTATAAAGCAAAAAAATAAGTTCCTCACAGCAGAATTACTCAACAGCCTTGCTGCTCATTAAATCCAGTTCCAGGTTGTGAGGCTGAGAAATCAGCTCATATCAAATCTTTTGTTTCAGTTCATTAATTCTTATTAGCAAAGACGAGCGTGTACAAAACATCCAGTTAGAGGCTGATGCCATGTGACTCCTGTTTGCTGCTTTATTAGCGTTCGTGTTGTAAATGACTTGCCAGGCCAGACGGCGTAGTGTAAGAGGGCGAAGGCTGGAAGCAAGAAAGAATAAAGTAGAAAAAATAATATGAATATGAAACTATATTGGACCTTTATTATTGGCGGGCTGATATTAGCTATTTGCATTTATAATGGCTGGAAAATTAAAGGTAATAAAAGCAGCTGCTTAGTGTAAATTATTGAGATTTAAGGTAATGCTTTGGCCCCACAACAACTGATTTGGAACTGAACAGAGACCAAAAAAACTATGTAAAAAATGGTAATTGAAAAATGACTAAAAATAAATAACGTAAATATGATTTCTGTCCTTTATTCCTTTCTGGCTCATTTGTGACCGTATCACAGGCCAGACTTTGGAAATCACTCATCTAGACGATGTGTTTCCTGCATTCACTGCTGAGCCAAATGTAGGCTTGCTGCAGGCCATGTGTGCCCAGCTGCCATCGTGCAGGAGACAGCTCAACTCCTTTTTATCTGTGTAGTGTCAATTTATTCTCTCATCAAAAGCTGATTTCATTTCAAAGTTGAAACTGTTTTGTTTCATTGTTGAAGCATCCTGGTAATACGACTTTTGGTCATTTTAATTGTGACCTGTCTCACTCTCTTCTCTTTGCCCTCACCCCCCAACTTGTCACTTGGCTGCCCCTCCCTGGGCCTGGTTTGGCCAGAGCTTTCTTCCTGTTAAAAGGGAGTCCTTAAACCGAAACCTGAATGTTTGTAGGGCTTTCCACACAGAGAGAGCAATGTCCTATCACACAGTTTACACCAATAAATGTTTAAAGACATACTTGGTGTACATTTGCTATAGTCTCTCCTTATAGGTCGTCTTTAAGTGTAGCCAAAATTAGTGGGGGGGGTTATGACTTTCATGAGCCAAGTCAAAGAGCTTTATGACCTGTTTGAGAAATTGCTGTTTTGTTTCCATGCGTGCCATAGATAATCTTATCCTATTGGTCACAGAACCTGCTGTAGTACTGGTGGTGAGGTGGGACATTTGACATTCATTTCAATGCTTTTTCAGCTTGAATGCTTTTATCAGAGGAGTCATGAAATAAAGGTTTGATAGGAGATTACTTGGCCTTGCAGCTCAGTGATTCTGGTATTTTACCCATTTCTAACTGAATCCAAGGTGGAACACATCCCTATGCAGGACCCTGACTTCCCCCACTCTGTGTGTGTGTGTGTGTGTGTGTGTGTGTGTGTGTGTGTGTGTGTGTGTGTGTGTGCAGTGGTAGCAGTGGAGGCAGCCATCCCAGCAGCAGCAGTCGGAGCAGCAGTAGAGAGAACAGCGGCAGCGGCAGCGTGGGCATTCCCATTGCTGTGCCCACACCCTCCCCACCCTCCACATTCCCGGGTAACACACAGAAATATACACGTCTGTGCTACACACCTGCCCACCATTCCTCCAATTCTAACTGGACTCTTTGTACTATTAAGATTTTATATTTTAAAGTCCTTCTAAAGTTATAAACTATATAAACAGCTTAATTTTTGTGTGTAATTTCTGTGCTTGAAATTCAGCTCCCCCTGCTGTTTGTGCTTTGTCACTCACTCCCTCCTATAACCTTATTTCCTAACTCCTTCCTCCTTTCCATCCTTCCTTTTCTTCTGCCTGAAGTTTCCCCGACTGCCGGACCTGCTAGCTCATCCTCTACCGCCCCTAACTCTTCCCCTTCCCCGTCCCCAACTCCTTCCTCTTTCTCCTCCTCCTCCTCCACCACAACCTTAACACAACCCAACGCACCTCTGCCGCCGAGCTCACCTTCTCAACATGCCAACTCACCTTCCCAAGCAAACTCTCAAGCGAATGCGCCAAACGCCGGCACCTCCCCCCCCTCTAAATCTTCCACAAGCACATCCGAAGTCCAATCGGAGCTGCTTCCCCCTGCCCCTCCCCCTCCACTTTCCTCCTCCTCCTCTTCTTCATCACCCACTGAAGGTGAGTTTTCAGGGACACCTCTGCTCTCCAAACATCACCAAGTCCTCCTTTTTCTCTCTGTTTCTGTGGATTTTATCCCCACCCCGGGGAGCTAATCTTTAACTCTTTCCTTCATGTTTAACACAGAAAATTAAAATGGAATTGAATCACTGATTGATTGATACGCAGTGTATTAAGAAAATATGAGTTTATAACGTTGCCCCTCTTTGCTGGTCAGGCCCTATCGTCCCTCAGTTCTACAGTATGAACCGGCCTCAGCCTCGACAGCAAACCCCACAGGTGGGGGGGTCACTGCCTTACCGCCGCCCCCCATCGGTGACTGGTCAGCCAATTACAACCCAGAATCAGGTCAATGGCGGTCCCTACTACAACCAGAGCCCAGGTATGCAGTATAAAAGCAGCCACCAGTCACTCCACTCCCACATTGAGAAAGTTTGGTAAAAGTTTTGTCTTTTGTGCTTGCAGCCTCTCCCCCGCCCCCCTCCCTGCTCCAGTTCACCCCTCAGCTTCCTCTGATGGGGTTTGTAGCTCGAGTTCAGGAGTCCAGTGAGTATTAATCTGGATTCTTTTTCAGTAATTTATCAGAGAAATGTTTCTGCACATCATTTTTCTCTTGAACATCTGTGTGTCAAAACGGATGACATCATCAGCTTTTAAGCCCAGATTCAGTTCAGCTTGTATAAAGTATCCCCAACCTCCAGTTTCAGACGCCCCCCCTCCCTCGCAGCCTGCCACTGAGAACCAAGTAGCGCACGAGGAGGCCCTGCCCACTCCTCAGCCAGCTGAGGATGGGCATGAAGAGGAGGACTCAGCAGTAGTGGAGTATAACGACCCGTATGCTGAAGAAGACCCACCGTGGGCCCCCAGGAACTACTTAGAGAAAGGTACACCACAGAAATACACAGAGGCAACAAAGTACTTGCAGTTTGCATTGTTTATGAGGTTGTGTTAGATCACTCCATCAGTGTTCCTTGAATTAGTTGCTCATATATGTAGCCTTAAACTGTGTCTCCGGGTAGAATAACACAACTTGGATTTAAGGTTGTCTACCCGGAAAACCTAATTCCCAAAGTCCCCCAAAAATCTTAAGTCAGGTATTGATGTCTTTTATACTCATTAATTGCTTTGGATATTATTGGATTAGTTGTTGCATTAATCACAGGGGTGAGCAGTTTTTTAGTTTCCATTTGTGCGTAAAAACTGAAATGCATGCAATTACATTTACTGCACTGCTTCTGGTGAAATGACTGAACCTTCTGCTGTTTAGTAATCATATATTGGTGTGTTTGTCGCCCTCCAGTGGTGGCCATCTACGACTACACGGCCGACAAGGAGGACGAGCTGTCGTTCCAAGAAGGAGCGATCATATACGTCATCAAGAAGAACGAGGACGGGTGGTTTGAAGGAGTGATGAACTCGACCACCGGTCTCTTCCCTGGAAACTACGTAGAGTCCATCATGCACTACGCTGACTGAGCCAAACGTGTCTGTAATCACAGCTGCGGTCAAGAACTAGAAGGGAAAATGTGACCCTGTTCCATGTTGCCATTTGTCTCCTTAAATTCACACTAATTGGTCACAAGAAAGTCAGAGCTTGTGAAAACAAAACGACCACTTAATCAATAACAGGCTTTACCTTAGTGCTTTAGGACTAAGAGGGGTTTCAGGTGTGAGATATTCATTTAAAAACACCTGAGACCTGTCTACCTGCAAGTAAAAAGTCAGTAAAGTTCTTTGGGTATCTTCTTTTCAACCCCGTGTAATTCAAAGAAATTATGAAATGCGGTGCTTTCCAGCCACACAACAGCTCTGTTTCTCTGAAGAATGACTACACACATTTTAGAAAAGAACGTTTAAGTGGGACCTGATGGTACAGGTGTTGCCACACATTCAGGGTGTGTCTCGGTCATACAAATGTGTGTATGCTGCAGAAGTGATAATTGTCCTAATAATCTAAGTCCTACTAATCAAAAGAAATGACTGCACCCAGAAGATCAAGACATGAGTAGGACACATTTGATTTTGTTTTTTTTAATCACAAGAAATTGATTTTAAGATGTTGACATAAGAAATTTGTTCTCTTGCAACACATGTTGTGCAGAACTTTTTTCCATTTCTCATACAGATGTGAAACCATTTAGTATGTAAGTGTGGTTAAATGTTATAAATCATAGACATGATCACAGCAGAGTGATTCTTATAATAGTAGAGCTGAAAATCTAGACATAAGCCAGTGATGTTGATTCAAATGGACACTGTAGTGTGGAACTGTTAAAAGCTAATCCTGCGTGACTTTTAATGGTGCCAATCTCCAAAAACAAAAAAAAAAACAATCCTAAGAGCCTTATGAGGTGAAAGAAGGAGTTCTCTGAGGGAGGAGTCTTGGGGATAAACTTGAGATGAAGGAAACGATAAAAGAAAACACTACAGGTCAGAAAGGTTTTTATGTTAAACAAAGCGAACAGCACAAAGATCTTCAGTGACACTAAACTCAGTGAAGTTGTGTGAGTGACCTTTTTGCAAGTTGATTGGATGCCATCCTGCTCTCTTCATGGACAGTATTCAGTGAAAACTGAGCTTCTGTCCTCATAGAAAGTTCCTTTAACATCACACCACATCCTGCTGTGATGTGACGTCTGCAAGTGGAACTGTGTGTTTTCCGGTAGCTGAAGTTTTCTTGTTAGTTCTGTGTTGAATGAAGCTGCAAAGGCAGTTCTGGCTGATATAAATGTATGTGTGTAACTAAACTAACATTTTATCTAATCCACAAGAGATCTGATCAATCGCCAAGGTCAGACCAGACAGCAGAACTAAGCTCTCCTGTGTCCGACCTCATCGTGGGTTTGTTGTCGTGTAGTAAAGTGGACCTGATCTAATCGCCAGGAGGAGATTCTGGAGCTGTTATCAGTTTTGTTTTGGTTTTTTTTGTTTGTTGTTGTTTAAGTTTACAGTGTGTTTGCTTGCATGCCTGATATATAATAGACATTTTTATTCGCCATATTCTGTTTTTTCTTTTTTCTTTTCCTGTAGTTTCACCAGCTTGCTTTATGATGTCTGTTTGACCAGCTGGAGGTTGTGATGTTTCTGTGCAGTTTTTGCTTGTAATAGCCCTTTAACTGAAGCCCTGTGTGCTTGGACGTAAGACCGACTCTCAGAAAAAGGTGGATATTTTTGTGCCATATGTGTGTGTGAAGAGTTGTGTGCACGTGTGTGTGAGAACCAGTAAGAACCAAATGTTCCCTTGTTGACTGAAGTGACTTTGGACTTGAAAACAGTGTGTCCTTAATGTACAGTGTAACTTAAGAGGTGTTTTACGACAGAAACCAGAGTATGCCAAATTAAATAACAAATAAGATGAGAAACAGTTTTCCCCTATAGATGTTTGAGTTGAAGGAAAAAACGTTTTTTTTCTTGATGCTCTTAAGATAAAGATTCTCTCTTGTGTAGCTGCAAATAATTATTTTAATACCTATATACCAAGCTGACATTTTCAGATAACAATAATTGTATTTATTCATATATCCATGTACTTTCAAGTTTGAGTGCAAAGTGTTGTCCAAATTAAAATGAATACAAATCATCAGAAATTTACACACTTCTCTGTAGGAGCACAAAAAGAACAGAAGGTGTAGTGTGAAGCAGCACACAACCCTCTTTGAAAAGGTAAAAAATAAATAAATCTAGTGTAAGTTCATATGTGAACACAACGGTCGCCAGCCTTCAGACAGAATGTCTTTAATGTAGACAGCAAATCGTTTGAGCTGCTGCAAACTTTGGCTCACTCTGGTTTTTGTTTAGCCTGCAATATCCCTTTAAAGTGTGGACTAAAAAATGAGATGAACTGTGAGATGTTATGGACAGCTTCTCCAAGGCCTTTAAAAAAAGAAAGAAAAGAAAATCAAGAATCTGTTTCATTGCCCTCAGTGCAGACATTGACCTCTAAACAGGACAAGTCTGGGTTGAGATTCACAAAATATTTTAAGAGTAACCCCCAGTGCCCCCCCTGGCAAGACTCTCCTATGATAGTAATAATTTCATTACACGTGGCCACAAGAGAAAGTAAGACACCCTACAATCAGCTGAAAAAATTCTGGACACGCCCCTGCTGAATTGCACTCATCACCTTTGAGTTTCTTATAGGACCTTTGGTTTCTCTTTAGATCATCGCTTTCATTTTATTTCTCCCATCTCATTCTTCAGGATCTACCTGAAAGAACAGGCCTCAGGAGAAGCTTTCTCCTTTCCAAAGTGAACATGACTGAAAGCACAATGTTCTTTAAGTGAAAATACTAAATAAATGTCTTAACAATAAGCATGTACTACTGTTGGGTATTTATCAGACTGGACGGTAGAAACTGCGTACAGAAGAGTTAAGTTTTTTTTGTTGAAAGGTGAAGATAAGAAATAATAATTAAATGCGTATGCTCACAAGAACTGAGAATATTTAAAATAAAATAAATTTAAAAAATATATATATATATATATATATATATATATATATATATATATATATATATATATATATATATATATATATATATATATTTATTTATTTATTAATTTTTTTTTTTTTTTTTTTTTTTTTTTTTTCCACAAACCTGCTTAAAGGTAAAAAAGAAACGCAATGAAAGAACACTTTTAAGAGTGTATCGACAATTGTCATTTTATTTCGACAGGACAAAACGCCGGAAATGATAACGCGAGGACTGATCGGTAAAGGAAGAAGCTCTTTATCTAGTCAAACCACTATTTTATGGTCAGCTGTAGCTTTTAAAGTGACTTTTATTGGATGACACCTCACGCTTTTCGAGTCTAAAATTGCTGCTTTCCTATAGATTACTTAAACGAGTTTATTTTAAGGGGGAAGTGAAACGCCACTGTACGAAACTACATTACCCGTAATGCAGCTCGGTATGACCGACGTACTGTCGTGAATTTAAACTGCTAATACGTCGGTCACCGACTCTCAACAGTCGTGAAAACACCTGGACAAACTTGGATGTTTCTATCGGTTAATGTTTTGTTAGTTTTTGTAAGACTGTTATGCAGTTTCAGCACCGGGCAGAGTGGAGTTTGTGGGGCGGATTATTCGACTGTGAAAATGCCGCTTTATGTCAGTTAGCGCCGCAATGCTAGTTAAGCTAACTTTTTGCTAACAACTCGTTTGATCATTTTCATTCTGTAGCTTTTCAGATTTGCTCTTCAAATATGAATTAAACGCACCCGGTTCGTTGCGAGGATGCTGTATTTGCTATATTAGCTATTTAAACAAACAAAAAAATAGTCTTATAACGGTTCCGCCCAAGCAGGAAAGATTCAGTTGAGGAAACCATGACACTCGCTCCGAAAGAACTGTCCAACCTGCTGAGCATCATCTCGGAAGAGGCTTGCACCAACTCCTTCGAAAGCCTCTCCACTCACTTTCATCATTACTTCGGGAAAGCGGAGCACTTCAGGGTCGGCTCGGTGTTGGTGATGCTTCTGCAGCAACCGGACCTGCTGCCCAGCTCCTCGCAGCGGCTCATCGCCCTCTACCTGCTGTGGGAGATGTACCGCACCGAGCCACTGGCCGCTAACCCTTTCGCCGCTGTTTTCGCGCACCTGCTGAACCCCGCACCTGCCGGAGAGGAACAGGAGAAGGTGCTGTCCGGTAGGTCTCCGTGTGAAAATGCTTTTTCCTGACTTTGTTTATGTCACCGAGAAAGAAATCAGCCAGGCCTAAACGAGCAGGACATATAGCAGCAGCGAATAAGCTTTGATACAAAGTTGAGGTTTTCTCTGAAGCTAAACTCAATATTTGAGGGTTGTGCTTTTTTTTTGCTTTTTTTTTTAAAGAGTCTGAGTCTTCGTGTTGTAACAGTGATGACCAATCAAGATTTTTGGCATCTTATACTCTAGAGTCTAGACACAAACGAGTGATGTCTCTGTGGCACATGATTGTGCTTTGAAGGACCACAGCCTTATGTAATGTCCCTATCTGTTTGTCTGAAATGAGAAACAGTCTGTTTCTCATTTCAGACAAACTTGTTCAGTTCAGTTAAACATTTGCCCTCAGATCTTGCTGCCAGTGCAACACCCAGTTACACTGGCAGTCTCAGTGTGACTGTGTAACATGATGAATGAGGGCATCAGGGATTATGAAGTGTATGAAGTCTCCTGTGTTTGGTGTCCAGGCTTCCTGCCTCCCATCACCCAACCTGAGAAGTTCTTCCTGTCCCAACTGATGTTGGCACCTCCCAGGGATCTCTTCAAAAAGACACCCAGACAGGTGTCCTGCATGGATGTTGGCAACATGCCCCAGTCTGTAGACATCAGCGGGTTGCAGCTAGCGTTGGCAGGTCAGTACCCACTCACCCATAAATGATCTACTGACTGAAAGACTAGGTGTGACTGGTCAAAACTGTCACTTGTTTATACTGGTTTGTTTTAAAAGGCAATTTTTTTTCTTCTTTAATCTCTTTGCAGAGATTACTTTGTTTACTTTGCACTTTGTTTCTTTTATGTTTTAATTCACTGTTTCTGTCTCTTTGTTGTTTAGAGCGTCAGTCAGAGTTGCCCACTCAGAGTAAGGCCAGTTTCCCAAGCATTCTCAATGATCCAGACCCAGACTCATCCAACTCAGGATTCGACAGCTCTGTGGCCAACCAGATCATCGAGTCTCTGGTCACAGGCCCACGCCCTCCCCTGGAAAGTAAGTGTTATTGATGATTTGTTTGTTCATTTTTCAAAAAGGCTTTTGTTATGCAGAAAACCAAGAACATTAAAAGCAGGTCACCTCAGGTGTGTGTGTGTGTGTGTGTGTGTGTGTGTGTGTAAGCAACATGAAAAGAGTATGTCTTATCATCATGTTTCTCATCATCATGTTTCTCATCACTCGGCTGGTTATTCACTTCTAGCTTACAAGTCAGGAGCTGTGTGAATTAGGAGATCACAGATGAAAAACAAGTGAACGTTTTGCTTTGCTGGCAGTTTTGTGGGTTTTCAGCTGTCAAGTGCACATCTGACTTATGTTCATCCATAAGTCAGATGAAGCAGCATGGTCACACAAGAACCTGAGTAGTTTCACTAGTGTGTGCATCAGAGCTTCAGCTCTCTGCCGTGGTGTCCCAATATTACAGTTCATTGCTGTTCATATCCTGAGACACAATGCTTGGCTCTCTGAACACGAGATCACCTTTTAAAGCTGGCACACATGTAGCCATGGTTACTAGAGTAGACCGCCACCCATGAATAAAGCTACGTCTGAAACAGAACAGGATTATCACAAGTGTTTCAATATCGCTGTTTAATCCTCAGGTCACTTCCGCCCTGAGTTCATCCGGCCGCCGCCTCCTCTCCACGTGTGTGAGGACGAGCTGGCGTGGCTGAACCCCACCGAGCCAGATCACAGCATCCAGTGGGATCGCTCCATGTGTGTGAAGAACAGCACCGGCGTGGAGATCAAACGCATCATGTCCAAGGCCTTCAAGAGCCCGCTGTCTGCACAGCAGCAATCACAGGTGGCTCAGCCATTTAATGCTTCTCTTAAAGTCAGGCACTGCAATTCTATTTAAACTGAAACTATGGTGCTGCCACCAGCTGCCTTTGGAGTGCAACCAGATAAACCCAGAGAGGAATTTCAGGGTTAAAGTTGCTACTTCACAAAAGGAGAAAAGCACAAGACAAATATATTAAGACAAGACATTAAAACATGGTTTGAAAAGAGTCAGAATGTGAAATCAACAGGAATAAAATGGAATGATGTGGATTAATCAGAGGATAAAAATGGTAGTTTACAGCTGATTGATAGTGGGAGTTTATTTCTGTTTCTCCAGACACTGGAGGACAGTATGCATCTTTATACAAGATGGTAATTATTTATAATTAACCATCCAAACTTAACATCTTTTGTCTTACCATCACTTCCAGACCCAGAGAGCTTCGTTATACAGTCTGTTGTTACCGAGGATTAGCTCTGTGAACTAGCAATCTGTCCAGAGCATACCTCGCTTCTGACCCCAGGACAGCTGGGCTAGGCTCCAGCACCCCGTTGACCCTGAATTATGAAGAGAGGGTTTACAAGAGAAAGCATAAAATCTTTGTTTCCAGATGTGGAGCCAGTAATGGTTTAAACTTTTAATATTATTACATTATCAGAGGTAATATATTTATCATTTGTAGTTTTTTCCTCCTTCAGTGTATTTGAAATGCAGCGTGTAAATCTTTGCTTGTCAGTAACTCCCTGCATGCTCTGTCACTGCAGCTGCTGGCTGAGCTGGAGAAGGACCCGAAGCTGGTTTACCACATCGGTCTGTCTCCGGTGAAGCTGCCTGACCTGGTTGAGAACAACCCGCTGGTGGCCATCGAGATGCTGCTAAAGCTGATGCAGAGCAGCCAGATCACAGAATATTTCTCAGTGCTGGTCAACATGGACATGTCGCTGCACTCCATGGAGGTCGTCAACAGGTGGGGGCACGGAGCCGTGGAGCTGCTTACAGAAAAAGGCCAAATGTGTGATCTGAAAAAAAAAAAAAAAGACAAAACAACCAAAGCCAGGACAATGATCAGAACACTGATGTCAGTGTGCTGAGGTTTGAAAAGTCAAACTAAAAATAAAGTTTTGTTTGTTTTTTAATCCAGTCTTCAAAAGATTTTCGAGGTTTTGTGGGGTTTGTGTCACTGGTTGCTTTTTAATCTGCGCTATGTGTGACTCGAGTAAAGCGGCCTCTCGTCAGTAAGCCCAGTTCTAGTCTCTAAACTAAACTCGGCTCACGCTATGACTCATTCAGAAGCTGACTGACTAAACTGGGTCTGTTTTAAGAGGTGTTAAAAGTTTCATTGTCAAAAGTGGAAATGTCACTCTTTGGGGGTTGTTTTTGTCCGCAGGTTGACCACAGCTGTGGATTTGCCTCCTGAGTTTATCCACCTCTACATCTCTAACTGCATCTCCACCTGTGAGCAAATCAAAGACAAATACATGCAGGTAGAGTACAACACGCAATGTAGTGATGCTTCTTCATATTTAATCATAATCCTTGAAAAAAAAAATCCATAAAAGAACAAAGAACTCCTCAAGTTTTGGAGCAGAAAGTCAGTATGTTGAACACACACACCCCTGCTAATAAGTACTAAATAACAGACTAATAAAACAGTAGAATGACTTGAGGACACAGACTATAGCTCAGACTTGTTGACAGGGCTGTACCGCACAGCTCACCCCACTCTGAATGAGAATCTTCTGAACTGGTTCAATGTGTTTTCCAGTAAATTGGAGACCATGCTTTGTGTGGTGTTATTAGGTATTAATCACACTTTCTTTCTTCCAGAATCGTCTGGTCCGTCTGGTCTGTGTCTTCCTGCAGTCGCTCATCCGGAACAAGATTATCAATGTTCAGGACCTCTTCATCGAGGTTCAGGCTTTCTGCATCGAGTTCAGCCGCATCCGCGAGGCCGCCGGCCTCTTCCGCCTCCTCAAGACTCTGGACACTGGAGAAAACCCCACTGAGGCCAAACCTGCCAAATAATACTCGTCATAGATGCTACACGGGCGGGACTGAAGCAGCGGCTAAACGAGGACGGTTTGCTCTAATGCACACTCGTAGTGTCCCTGTACATCACAGAAGGAGAAGACTGTGCAGCTCAGAGGAAATACTGTAAATATGTTATGAAGTCCTTCAAATTTGAGTCATTTCTCTATATGCTCATCTTCTACAGTCCAGGTCTGCCTGAAGGACAGCAGCATTTCCTTTTTTCCCAGTGCTCTCCCCTTTGGAAAATGAAACCTCCTGAGTTTGTTTCATTAAAGAGATCGTTTATTTGACTCGGTGTAGTTGTATTTTTGGATTGTTACATTTCTCTTGTCACTCACATGTGCTGCCTGCCTGCCATGGTGAGTACTTGAATGGCTGTGACACTCAAATCTTTTTATACAGACGGACACAGTATTTCCTGTAGACAGTTTAAAGACTCTAAATATATTCTACAAAGAATATATCTGTTAAATATTAAGTTGTAGCTAAGAGTGAACATGGTGTCAGTCTAACTGCCAAAGAAGGCTAAAAACAACTTTTACTGATGTATCTGAACAGCAGCCACGATAACAGCTGGCTGATCCCACCGCTGCAGTTCTCCTTTAGCATTTACCACACACTGGTCTACTGCTTATGTTCATTTTTGGGAATTGCTGTACCGCCAGTTATTAATTTCACACCACAAGTGCTGAAAGCCTCAATGAAGGTAAGAGTTAAAGTGGGTCATGTAATGAAGAATGGGCGGCCAGGTGAGCAGCAAGTCTTAACACTGGCATCTAGTGTGTCAGGATAATGGCAGTTGGAGCTTGTAACATTTTCCACTGAGATCAGGGAAAAACAAAACTTTTCTGAGTGAGAGCCAGGTGTGCATCCCACAGTGTCCATCACTATCACTATATAATCTATATAATCTTAGTGATTACCCCACTTAAATGTCAGGATGAAAAATGACAAAAGTAATAAAAAAATTGTTGGTTTATTGCTTGCAAACATCACATATAAACATTTTGATTTGTAATCAGATGGCTGTGTTACACTGATCACTTGTGGTTTCACAGAAATTTAAAAAATGAAATGGGAAATGTTGCAGCTCTGCATAGAAAATAAAACTCTTTGTGATATAATGTGGATTGTATGTATGCTCCGGCTAAGTCTTAGTGGAAAATTATTTTTTTTTGCTAATGTTTGCAGTTAAAAGATTGAGGAAAAGTGGAAAATTAATACAGCAACAAAGATGGACATTTAATCTCCAATCAGCTGCCTTCAAAACCTTTCTTTTTTTTAGCAGACCATTTTTGTGCTTGTTTCCTGGTTGTACCTGTTTGCTTGTCCTCTTCTGTGAGTTGTGGATCAGCTACTGTAACAGACACTGAAGCTAAAAGTCTGCAGTGAAACACTTTGAACTTTTTCCCCTTAGTTTATTTGCTGGAGGTAGAAATCTTTGTAGCTGACTTAAACACTTTGAAAATCAAGACTGGTACAGATCCTTTTTCTAATATTCATATTTTCATGTAAAAACTAATTTAAAGTCACACCTGTGACCTGTGTGATTTTAAAGCAACTCTTTAGGTGAGGTTTAACTTGACCCTTGGGATTATTTCAGCTTCTTGGGTTTGAATAAAACAGTTTTCTATTGTACATTTAAGAGAAACATGAGTGAAAGACATCAATCACCAGCAGATGTTACAAAATGTGTCCCACAGCCGTATTGCCATCATAAATCCAATATTTCTGGTCATTAAAAAGTTACAGTCTAAAGCCACAACTTGTGAGTGGAGCCTCTGCATTAGCAACTCATTTCCTTTGGCTGCTAGCCTTAGAGGTCCCCTCTTCACAGACAGGAAGTGATTGTGGTTTTAGGCCCTCAGGCCACGAGCCATGAGGCAGGCGAACACCGTCATCACCATCTTAGGCTTGACTTCCACCAAGTCCTCGGGGAGCGCATACACCCGGGCGCCAATCTTCCTGGACATGGAGATGGCGTACCTAAAGACACAGTAATTGTTGGATTAAATTCCTGCTGCTGGCGATGCAGAGACATTTCTGAACTGTTAAGTGATAAGAAGCTGTAAGAAGAGCTGTACGCACTTTGCGTTGTTGAGTTTCTCCTCGTCAGTCAGGTCTTCGGTCTTCAGCAGGTCGTACCGGATGGATCCAGGCTGGATGGTATCAATCAGGTCAAGAACCGGCATGCTGGTGCTGATGGACCGGTCCTAACCAACAACAACAGCAGAGTTAATGTAAATCTCTCATTGTTTAGTGTTACAGATGTGAAACTACACTGCTATGAGCCTGGTTGCCATCCAGAGTGTAACCAAAAACTCCCTGTTGGGTTTTTGTTCTTGTTTCACACAGAGGATAACCTGTTAAGCAGTTTCATCAAGGCCCAGTGTAACATAAACTTGGCTTATTCTGAACCACAAAGCATGCAAAGCAACTCTAGCGAAGTTCAGCAATAAAGATCTGGAGCTGGAAAAAAGTAGAATAGGTTCCCTTTAAAGCCGTGATAAATCTGTGCACAGGAAGTGATGTAATCAAAACTTTGACACTGGAGCATTTAATTGGAGGCTAAGGAGGATTTCCATGTCCATACTGTCGAGGTGTGTTACCTTAAAGCTGGAGATTGTGGATTTTCCGGCCCTTGTCAGGTTGTCGTTAACCCAGGACACGATGGTCTCATCGATCACCTTTTGCCCATCGCCAAGGTCCTCCAAGATATTCAGGGTGTACCTGGGTGCACACACAGGTAGCTTAGAGATTCCTGAATCGGGCATTTCTAAGCAGACTAAGTTAAATAGTTTCTGGTTCCATACACCCTTCAGTGCATTACCACGCTTTCTTTAACAGCCAAACCCCCATTCAAATATCTGCGGATTTCATATCAGGTTAGAACAACAGCCCTCACAAATCAGAGCAATCAAAACAAGAAGATGAGACCAAAGAGATGTGAGAGGTGAGTGAAGTGAGGTTTTACCTCCTCATGAGCTGCCAGAGCAGAGCGAGGGTGAGGGTTCGATTCCCTTCGTTCAGATCCTGACCCGCAATGCCGACCAGAGAGAACTTGGCCTCCTTCTTTCCCAGCTCCACGGCGTAGTTACAGTTCTCCAGCTGGAACGCACAAACAAAGGCTCGGGTTCAGCACGGATATGTGGATGCTTGAAATCCCTAAAATATTTGATGTCCTGTTGTTTACAGCTGGACACAGGCCAGATCAGGTGAATCCTTTCACAGATATGTGTAATGTGTCATTACAACATGCATAGTATGTGTCGTAATGACAAACGTCATTACGACACATAACAAAAAAAAATTGTTTGTGAAAGATGTTTTCATTCCAATCATTGGCTGCTGTGAATGAATACAGAAATATTTCAAGAATTCATAGTGGGATCAGGAGAGCGAACATCATTGCAAATTTTGCATATAATATGAATGGAAATTTGAGCTTTCTAGAAAAGGCAACGTGGATTTGGTGCACAGTGTCAAATTTAATGAAAATGTTTTGGGGGTTTTCATATCCATCATAAATGGATGTCTTTCCCCTTGAAGAGTGAGATGAGAGTCCTTTGAAGAACTGACACAGAAAGAGCCATCGTGCGTGACTTGAACTGTGTTGAGCTGTTGTACCTTCTTCATGTTGCTGCTCAGTTTAGGGTAGGGAGGTTTGTTGACTCTGTCCCAGTCCACTGGTACTTTGATCTTCTCGTACAGCTGGAAGATCACCAAGGCGTCGTCGATGTCTCTGCAGCACAAACAAACACATCACGCTGCTTTGCTGTTGTAATCTGGAGAATGTGTTCATATTCTCAACATGCTGCATGTCAAAGAAGGACAGAGGAAGACCGGTGAGGTGTCTTACGCGTAGAGATGGTTGACACGAGGGTTGACTCCCAGTGAGTTCATCCAGTTCCTGAAGGTGCGCTCCTCTCTGGTTTCACCTGGAAACAAACAAACAAACAAAAAAAGTCTGCTATTAAACATCCATGGCAGGAAAACTAGGGCACAGAGATCGGGAAAGTTGGGAATCTCTCACATATGAATTAAGCCCGCTTTGAGTGCTCAGAAAGAGTAGAAAAGCGCTATATAAGAACCAGTCCATTTACCATTTACCATTTACATTACCTTCGATGGAGCTCCAGTCGATGTCCTGGTTCTCTGGCTTCTTCAGAGCCGGGTATTTGTTAAACAGATTGGCAACAAAAGCCAAGTTGAGTTTAGGGTTGCCGCGGACGACATCTGTGGGCATAACGAACTGTCTGCACCCGAGCCGGTCGGCCTGGTCCAGCATGAGCTCCGCTCGCTTCAGGTCGTCTTTCTCCTGCAGAGCGAGCAGCAAGGCCGACATTAGAATGTGAGAACCAAATCAGAGTTTCCTGCACTCAAAATAAGCATGTTTGGAAGAATCAGGTCCGTAGTCAACAAAGGTCTGCGCATATGTAGTTAAACTGTTCTTTTTTTTAAATTTAGCAATAAATCTAATTAATAAAGTTTGTATTTTACGTATTTGGAACGTCGCCTTTGGCTTCAAGGAATTTTATATGTTCTGATATTTTTTGTAGAACAAAGAATGAAAAATAGCATAATATAAATAATATATGCAAATGAGGCAGCAGTTTTTGTTTATATGGGCCCTGCTGATTCCCTCTGAGTCTTTATGAGCAATCAGGGGACAGTAACACTGACTGATGTGTGGGAACTTGTCATGGTCCCTGTGCCCCGCTGGTCGACCCTCTATTAGGCAATATGTTTGTGGTTTGTTTGCTCGCCCTCTCGCTCTCTCTCGCCGCGGCGACGCTCATTGCGGGCTCCCGCTGCTGGCCCACACACCTGCTCTCATCACCGCACCGGCCGCTGATCCCAGCTGATTACTGCACTACTTAAGATGGCGAGTCTGCACTAGTCTTCGCTGGATCGTTGAGCTATCAGCGTCAGTCAAACTTGTGTATCTGCCAACCTGTATCTTGAAAGCCCTTTGTTATTATCCCGCTAACCCGACCTTTTGTGTTTAGATCGTTTTTGGAACCGGATTCTGAGAGGAGTGACTGAGGAGGAGCTTTTGTACAGAAAGTGTGGAGCACCCTTCCCCCTAACCCTGTTTCCCACGGACCCTGGCGACCCGGACCCGTTTCCCCTGCACGTTGTATATAGCCACTTGGTGATTGTGTTCACTGTGAATAAATGCACTGTTCTTCGCTTAAAGGAATACCCTGGCCTGCGCCTGAGTCTCTTTCGGAAACCATATCAGAACTAGTCCTATAAATGGTCACTATGGCTATCAGATGCATGCTCG